AGACAGAAGGTTCTTCAATGTCCTAAGTGACAATGGAGTAGAGACTTGAGAGAAGTGAAGGAGGGGGCTCACATGGCTCTGGGGACACTCCTCTTTGGCAGAGGGAGAGGTCTGCTGTGTAAAGTTCCAAGAGGGCAGCACAATTTGAGGACTGGCCGACATTCATGAGGCTGAGAGGGAGCACTCCAGTAAATGGCAGACACATAAAGGATTGAGGAAGGTCTTGTAGGATCACGGTTGTCCATTGAAAACACTTTCTTAAGTCATTGTGAGATGTTAGGTTTTGATTGATTGGGGAAATTGTTGGGAGTCTTTGGCCAAAGCGTGGCAATGTATGTATTGCAAGAATGATGCTGGCTGCTGTGTTGGAAATCAGGTGAGATGGGCAAAGCAGATGAAGCAGGGAAACAGATCATGGTTGGGTGCTTACACCAGGATCCCTGGCTAGTAACAATGGCCGTCTGGTTTGGCCCCTTACAATGTGGCAAAGCATGAAGGAAGTGCACCAGAGCAGCAAGGCAAGCAAAACAAAAAAGTCCTTGAGGAATCCCGAAAATAGACTTCGGACTCAGCGGGCAGGGCTTGGAGCCTCCTTAGACTCAATCAGAAAACATTCATAAGGATCAGCAGACAGACCCCCCCCCCTCTTCTTTTCTTCTTCTTTTTTTTCCATGTCTATCTATATAAGATAGGCAGAATAAACAACCCCGAGGAGAAAACAGTGGGACCAACAGTTCCTGGGGGACCTGGGAGAAATGGAGGTGGAGGGAAAGTAAGGGGGAGCCAACAAACCCAAGCACAAGGGAACAACAAGTGATCTAACATAGATGACAAGGAGGGCATAGGATGGCTGGTGGGGTTTGATCAAGTGCAATGTAGCAGACAGGAATTACTGAGAGCCGAATGAAGGTCAAACATGGTAGTGAGAGATGAGGAAAGTAAAAGGAAATCAAGGAAAGAACTAGAAGGCAAAAGACTTTGCCTCTATATAATTATATAGAGGTATAAATATAGGCATGTATATATGCAACTATCTTAATATATAACAATAGGGATATAGGCCTATGTACATATATTTATATGTTAAGTATTACGGTAGCAGATGGACATGGGGCCTCTACTCAAATATTCCCTCAATACATGAACATTTTGTTCTAATAAACTAGCAGTCTGTGAAGCTCACTTGCCCAACAGAATCGCTGAAGACAAAATGAGTGCATAAGCAAATGAGGTGAAGAAAACCGATGGTGCCTGACTATTACAAGATATAGCATTTTGGGGTCTTAAAGGCTTGACATTAAACTAGCTGAGAAGCAACAAAGCCCACACGGAAGAAGCACACAAGCCTATTGATAAAGAGGTGTCAATGGGATTAGGTAATAGATATCAGAAGACCCCCCCAAAATAATCATATTGATGCAAATGGGGGGCTCCGAGTGGAGACCCAAAGTCCATCTGTAGACAATTGGACATCCCCTCACAGAAGGGTCACAAGGAAAGTCAGCCAGGGTGCAGTATAGCAGCGATGAAACACACAACATTCTTCCAGTTCTTTAATGCTTCTTCCTCGCCCCTCCTGCTATCATGACCTCAGTTCTACCTGACAAATCCACCTAGACTGGAGCATGTACACTGGTACAGATAATAGCTCTTGACACACAGAATTCAGGACAGATAACCCCCTCAGGAACAGTAATGGGAATAGCGATACTGAGATAGTTATGGTTTATTGTGCCAACCTGGCCGATAAACACATTTGAGATTAATTGAAGGGTGGAGAGAGAAATGGCTCAGTCGGCCTCGCCTTTCTAGTTCTCGGGTCTCTTGCTCTCGGATGGTTGGGGCAGAGTGCAGCTGAAAGGCTCACTTCCTGCGAGCTATCCCTGAGGAGAAGCCACATGGACTAACCCTGATGCAGCCCTGGGTGCTGGAGAAGCCGTGTGGAGACCCCTGCCAGCGCTGAGATGCTTACACCGCCACTGGATTCAAAGACTATCTACCCCCTGGCCTGTGATCCTCCTGCATTCGGCGTCCTAGTGTGTGTTTTGTGAGTTTGAGGAGAACTTTGTAGAACGGTGTCAGAGTTAAGGGCTTGGACTGGAGTGGGTTGGGATGCTTTCTGAAGGTACACTTACCCTATATATAAAACTCTTTGCATATATGAGTTTCTGTAGACTTGTTTCTCTAGTTTACTCAGACTAACGCAGATACCATGAGGGTAGAAGGAAAATCAAGGGAGAAAGGGGAGTAAAGGGGAAACTGTCAGAACAATTGACATATAATACCACCACCACTCCGCAGGGGGGGGCGAACAACTGAACCGTGGGTGAAGGGAGACAATGGACAGTGCAAAATATGAAAATAATAATGCTTTATAATTTATCAAGGATTCATGAGGGTGGGAAGGTGGGAAAAAAGAGGAGCTGATACCAAGGGCTCAAGGAGAACAAAAATGTTTTGAAAATGATGATGGCAACACATATGCTTGATACAATTGATGTGATTGCTATAAGAGCTTTAAGACCGCCCCCCCCCCAATAAAATGATTTATTAAAAAGGAAAGAAAGTATTCACTATACAACAAAGGCTTTAAATCGATTTTTTTAAATAGCCATTTGGATCATAATGGTCATAGTGGATATGGGATGTGGTTAGTACCTGTTATATTTTGAGTCTTGATTTAGTACTACCATGAGAGGGAGAGGGGATTTAAGGATAACTCTATTGCTTTTTATTTGAGCAACTGGAGAAGGTTTATAACTTAATGTAAAGAAAACACAATCCCCACCACTGGACCAAGAGGTAGCATCATGACAAATGGAGAAAAGGTTACAGTTGTCAAGGATTTCATCTTGTGTGGGTCTACCATCAACACGCTTGCGAGCTGCAGTCAATAAATCAAACAAGGCATCCCATTGGGTACATCTGCTGTCCGTGGCCTCTTTAAAGTGTTCACAAGCAAGGGCATCACTCGGAGGAGACGGAAGTATGCTTGACTCAAGCCATGGCAGTTTCCATCGCCCCACATGCGTGTGAAAATCGGGAACGGAACAAGGAAGAGCCCAGAAGAAACAACACATTTGAATGATAGTGCTGGAGAGGAATCTTGGAAGGGTTCTATACTGCCAAAAGAACAACAAACAAGTACAGCCCCCAGGTTCCTTAGAAGCAAGGATAGTGAGACTTTGTCTCAAGTGCTGTGAACCAGTTATCAGGAGAGATCCGTCCCTGGAAATGGACAGCATGCTTGGCATAGTAGAGGCACAGCATCAAATGGGTAGACCCTCAATAAGATGGATTGGCACAGTGGTTGCAACAACTGTGAGGATGGCAGAGAACCAGGCAGTGTTTTGTACATAGTGCTGTACATAGTGTTGCTATGAGTCAGGACCAACTTGACGGCAGCCAACAACAGCTGGAAAAGGATTCCTTTACTTGAGATCAAGAAAGGCAGCCAAGAGGCAGGTTTGGGAAGGAGTGGAGGTGCTCATCTTGGGACTGGGTAAGGGTGAGATGGCTCATAGGCAGCCAGATGAAATGTCAGGGTGTTTGTGAGATAGCAGAGTTCGATGGGAGTAGGTAGTTTCAACTAGAAATACAAACTTGGGGTGGTCAGCCTATACACCAAATACCAAAGTCACTTCCATTGAGTCCATTCTGACTCCTAGTGACCCCATAGCACAGAGTAGAACTTCCTCTGTGGGTTGGCAACACTGTAAATCACTTGGGGAGTAGAAAGCCTTGTCTTTCCCCTAGTGGTTTTGAACTGCTGGCCTTCTGGTTAGCAGCCCAACTCGTCTAAGCTACCATATATCAGCCTTGGATGAAATCACTGCGGAGTGAATAGAGAGAAAGAAACAATAGATACAAGGATGGAACTCAGGGAGCTATCATCAATTAAAGGATCAGAGAATGATAAGAAAACAAAAAGGAGACTGCAAGACAAGGAAACCCAGAGGAGTCTACAAGCCCAGTGGAAGCATGTAAACAGGGCTTTGACGGTTGAATAGGAGTTTTCTATGCCTGTGGTCCTCCAAGTGTGGTCTTCAGGCCAGCAGCATCACCTGGAAACTTTTTAGGAAGACGCAGACTCTCGGGGCCTTATCCACAACCTAATGACTCAGAAACACTTAGCTGGGGGTGGAGGGGGGTCAACCATTTGTGTTTACACAAGCTCTCCAGGAGTTCTGATGCACCCTAAAGTTTGGGAATCATTGACATTAGCTGTGCAGAATTATCAAAGCTCATATGGTTGAGGACCCAGTTAGCACTCAAAAGTAGATGGGCAGCTAAAGGGACCCCAGAAGTCACCCCCTTCCCACCACCCCTATCCCTATCTCCCACGTTAGAAAACGGACTACCAATTTAGAACTGCCCTTTGGAGAGGCAGAATGAATGAATGCCTCTTTCCCAGGCGTTGAGAATGCTGAGCCCCAGGCATACCAGACATTCCACTGGCTAAAAAAGGGGAAGGTGGGGGTGGTATTTCAGGGGTAGGTGAAGGGGTCCCACCAACACTGACACTCCCAAGATTAAAAAGCTCCTCCAGCCCAGGTCCTCTAGGGCTCTCCTTACCGGGGCGAAGAAGCTTAAATTTGGGGCCAGTCCTGCGGGCTCCCTGGCCAGCTGCGAGAAGGCTGTCTCAGAAATAAGAGGGTTCCCACTGCGGATGGGCGGGGCGGGCGCCTCCAGTCCCAGCCCAGCGGAGGGGCTCCTGGAAGGCCAGCCTCTCCCAAGAATCCCCCAAACCTTCAAATCCCTGCCTCTCCTCTTCCAACCAGCCGTCCCAAAGTGTGCAGCTGCCTCCTTCCTTCCCAGCCACATCCTCCTCGCCCAGCTTCACTCCGGACCGGACAACCGGAGCCTGCAACCGCCCCGGCGCGGCGCGCTCCATCCCGGAACCTGCAGCTCTGTGCCCAGTTGGGCAGCTTCTCCCTCCCGGGTCCCCGCCTTCGCGCTCCCTCTTGCCAGGAGGCGCTGGTCCCCGCGGGCTGGCAGCAGCGGAACCCGAGCAGTTGGTCGTCGTCCCTCAACCGTGATCATGATGTTCAGGGGAGCCCTCCTGGTGTTGCAAGGTAAAGTCTGCGCCCATGCTGGGGTGCAGAGGGTGCGGGTGGGGGGTACTCGCGGGACTCGCCCCCGCCCCTGCGGACCCAATTGCCAGGCTTGGTCCTGAGCAGGGTGATCCCAGTCCTGGCAGCTCCTAACTTCGCTCCATCAGGCAAAGCCTGTGATTTTGCAGCGGAGAGGGTAGGCGCATCTCTCGGCCACCTCCCTCCTTCTGCACTCCTCCCCAACTTTCACTTGGTAGCCCCGGACCCCTCAGGGCACCCCGTGGTGGTGCAAACTCCCAGTGGGAGGCCGAACTGAAACTTGCTCTGTGTCCTGCAGCCCTGCAGCTTGCTGGTGCCCTGGACCTGCCAGCTGGGTCCTGCGCCTTTGAAGAGGACACTTGCGCCTTTGACTCGGAGTTGGCATTCCAGCCGTGGATTCTAAACGAAGAAGGTAAGGGGCCTCCGTGGAGAGAGCCGGACGCGAACTTTCTCTCTTGCTGGTTGGCTTCTTCACGTGGGGCACTCTATCTAAGAGATAAATCCCCTGCGGGGGCGGGGGAAGAGGGAGACGGGGAACGTGTGACTCATCACTTATCCGCCAAATCATCCAGCCAAATCCTCGATGAGGGGGCCCAGATGGCCTGGGGAAGCAGGGAGACCCATCCTTTGTTCACCTGGCCGGGGAGTTTGCACTTCCAGCACCCCATAACAGAAGGGAAAGAAGAGGCGGGTCCCGCTGATGATTGCTCCCACCAGCCATAAGCCCCCTGGGAAGTCATCACCCTTTCAAGTCTTCTCCAGGCTCATCTGTGCCCTGCTGCCAAGGTGGCATGGTCTCTGCAAACGTGGTTGTGTAATCCCAAGATGGGACTCCAGGCTAAGACCTGACATCCACGTTTGCCTGCCAGCACGTTGGCTGCCTGACTTCATCCCCAGGCAGTCACCCTGGGAGTTGTAATCCAGTGCGGGGCTCTTGAGGAAACCGAGTCCTTGACCTTGTGCCTGACTCACTGAGCTGGTAGATGGTGGTCACTTGTCTCACTGTTACAAATAGTTTGCGTTCTGGACACACAGCGGAACCATGGGATCTTTGGAAGTACCTAGAGTAAAAGATAAAGCAGTTAGTTCTCCAGTGCCCAACAGCAGATGCGCGCGTGTCCTGTCTACTTTCCTTTCTCTGTTCCTGGCATCATGGCTATCAAGAAACTTGTTGCCCCAGCCATTCAGACTAGGAAATAGACTCCTTTAAAAGTAAACTATAACCCCCCCCACTACCAACCCAAACTCACTGCCATCCAGTCAGTTCCAACACATAGAGACCCTATAGGACAGAGTAGCCCTATGGATTTCCGAGAGTGTAAATCTCTATGGGGGTAGGAAGCTTTATCTATCTGCCATGGAGTGCCTGGTGCTTTCAAACTGTTGACCTTGTGGTTAGCAACCCAGTCTGTATCCTAATGTGCCACCAGGGGTCCTCTTTTCAAAGTCACTGCACCACAAATAAAATCAGCTGAGAAATGGCACAGAGGCCACATCTGATGTCCTCTGGTGACACAAGGGTTAGGAGAATGCAATTTCACGCCAGCCCAAGGCTGATTCCTGTGAGGCAGAGGTCAGGCGCGCTTCCCCTTCCAACCGTCTTTACCAATCCGGACATCAACCTTCTCTCCCATCTCTCACAGGACTCTACTTCTCTACCGTGCTTGATAATCCGTTGCAACAGCCAAATAGAACTCGAAGACAACACTCAGGATTAGGGGGTCTTGTTGGAGGAAAGGGCACAGGTTACTACAAGTCAGGATTAGAAAATATTAAGGATTCAGTTCTTTTGTCTCAGTGTTTATTCTCAGCCATGCTGGCAGGCACATCTCTCTTTGGTCCTTGGTCTGTCAGCCATGTGACCCTTGGCCTTTCCCTTTCTCTGGCAAGTATAACAAAGCTCCTTTGGCACTGATAAATGCCCCCAAGGAAACTCTACTCTGTAAGCCAGCCTCCTGCCCAAGGGCACTCAGTTTTACTCCTTCTGGAAATCCCAGTGTTTAGTCTCAGCTCCACAGTGTGTTTCACACACACACACACACACACACACACACACACACACACACACGCTGTTGGCTATAAGCAGGACTAAAACTAGGTAAAGAAGGCCAAGGACAGTGAATGTTTCCTTAAATTTGGAGCCCTGGGTACTTCCTTAGCCTCTCCTGGGCTGGAAAAATGAAAATCAGGATTACTCCTTAAGTCAGGAACCTTGGCCCCCAACCCTCACAGTCCACCTCTGGGACCATGGGCATGCCACCCCCGACCAAGCACACGGCCTCTCAGGACCACGGGGAGGGTTCTCTGCTGAATTGGCGCCTCTGCGCCCCAGTGGCCGTTAAACGGGCCGCCCTCCGGGAGAACAGGAAGATGCTGACAGGAGAAGGTGCTCAGGGCTCGCTAATATAATGCCGGCACTGTTCTTTGCCTTCTTACTTTCGTTCTGATTTCTAACAGCCGCTGCTTTCTGGCTCAGGGCTGGGACTACTGGCTTGGCCGGAGACGGTATTGCATTTCTCTCTGAGCAGTCCAGGTCAGGGCTGCAAGGTCTAGGCTTTCAAAGGCCGGAACCGGGCCGTACCCGTCAGTGGGGTAGGTGTGTGCCAGCCGCTGCGGTGGACTGCGGAAAAGCCATCACTAGACATTTCCATTCCAAACCCGTTTCTGGGTTGGTAAACAACAGATAGATAATAAAAGGGGCTGAAATTTGAAAAGCCGTCCCCTGGCCTCTCCGCAAAGGCACTTCGCCTGGCTGCAGAACTGCTTAGAAATGGGCTCCGTCTGCCTCTGTGTCTTGGATCCACTCTCAAAAGTTGTGGGTTTCAGATACTTCTGCCCACAAGTATTTGAAGCCAAAATAGCCCTTGCTAGATGCCCGTGGTCAGTAGGAGCCAAGTACAGTGGTGCGAGCCACGCAGATGCCCAGAGAAGCAGTTTAAGGAGGGACATGAATCATCAGAAGACAGATTTCATGACAGGAGAATTATGTCAGAGGGTAGTTTCAGCAATCCCCTCATCTCAAAATATCTCCCCAGCTGCTCAGAATTGTATTTAAGGTCCATTCCTTTGGCTTCTTTAGAGGCTTAAGTCACCAAACATCTCAGATTACAATCCCATTGTCTCTAGTTCATGGTCATTAAGTGCCTTTTGAAATATGCTGTATCTCTACTAGACAGAGACTAGGTACATTCTGACGGGGCAGTGGGTTGGTTTGGGTCCCGGACCACCATAGAGGCGCCCCCGGAGAAATGATTATTTGTGACAGGGTCACCCCACCCCCACCCCACTTGTGTATCATCTTGTTGTAAATGGTTTATCTTATTTCCCTAAATTCCCTCTGTGCTTTCTAAAACTTTCTAATTTTTAAGTCATGTGTCTGATGGAGGTTTATACCGCGAATTCAGTGCCCATTTAACACATACCAAACGAGTTAGAAGCCCTGGTGGTGTATTGGTTACATATTGGGCTACTAACCTTAAGTCAGCAGTTTAAAACCATTCCCTAAATAGCTACAGTCTCGAAAACTCACAAGGGCAGCTCTATGCCGTCCTGTAGGGGTCGCCATGAGTTGACATCGGCTCCATGGCAGACAGTTTGGCTTGGGCGTTTAAATAAGTTACTCTGTGACCTGGGTTACATTCTTACCTCTTGGCTTGATGCAGAATCTTCTTTTTTTTTTTTCAAACCATTTTATTGGGGGCTCATGCAACTCTTATCACAATCCATACAGATATCAATTGTGTAAAGCACATTTGCACATTCTTTGCCCTCATCATTCTCAAAACATTGGCTCTCCACGTAAGCCCCTGGCATCAGCTCCTTCCTTCCCTCCCCGCTCCCCGCTCCCTCATGAACCCTTGACAATTGATAAATTATTATTTTGTCATATCTTACACTGTCCGACGTCTCCCTTCACCCATTTTTCTGTTGTCCACCCCCAGGGAGGAGGTCACATGTAGATCCCTGTAATCAGTTCCCCCTCTCTACCCCGCCTTCCCTCCACCCTCCCAGTGTCGCCTCTCTCACTAATTTGTCCAGGGAAGTGAGCTTCTTTCTGTCTCAAATTTGAGCTCACATCTAAGTGTTAGGTCTGAATTAAATCCAGAAAAGAGGGGGTGGAGGTCTGTTTTATTCTATACAAAGTCTTCTTTATGAAGTCATTTAACGTATTTTTAACAGCCACAACAAACCAACCTCTTTATCCATTCACAGTTCAAAAAAAGATCGGTACCTCATTGAACAATGCTCCTTAACTGAAATTCATTGTTCCGCTAGCTCTTGGATCGGTCCAATTCCCTACCTGTTCCCCCACCTCTTACCCACCTGGCAGGCGTGGGAGCAGAAGCCCTTTGGCTGAGAATTCCTGGCGACCATGCAGGTGGTCTAGCTGTGGGACCATTCGCAATTCAGACGAGTCATTGGAGTAGCTTTTGATCTCGCTCTCGGTGTCTGGACATTGGGCTTTGATACCTTTAGTCCACCTCTCTTGAGGATGTGGTTTGAAACACCAAGAGAAGGAGGAAAGGGCCTGCAAGCAAACTGGAGAGGAAGGTGGGCAGGGAAATGGGTTCAAGGGAAGAAAACTCATTGCCATCAAGTCAATTCTGAGTCTTAACAACCCTATAGGACAGGGTAGAACGGTCCCGTGGATTTCTGAGACTGTAACTGTTCACGGGGGTGGAGCCCTGTCTTTCTCCCAAAGAGCTCCTGCTAACTGCAAGGTCAATGGTTTGAAACCACCAGCTGTTGCTATAGGGTCTCTCTACGTCAGCATTGACTCAACGGCCTATGTCAAGGTGGAGAGTCAGTAATACAAAAGGGCATTCACAGGGATGGTGTTTTCTACCATCTGTGGGGAGAAGGGTCTGAGAACTTGCCTCCTATGGGAATGACTGGTCACTCTTGGAATCCGAGATGGTGGATGAGTCCTTAAATCCAGCCATGGCCGAGGAATGGGAGGTGTGTGGAGGTAGGTACCTTATTCACCTGTAAGCCCATGCCTCTGTGTGTATCTCTTTCTTCATCTAAACTTGATCTTTCTCTTTTAAGGACACTCTTAGTTACTGAGCCTTGTGAGTTTCAGTTCTGCACTCAGTCATGTGCCAGTTATTATTAACAGTGATAAATCTGTCTAATATTTCTCCAGGCCCAGCTGGAGCTAACCATCTGGCCCCGGCCTTTTGGCTCGATGTTACCTCTGTTTCTTGGTGTCTTGGAGCTCGCTGTGTAGAAATGCCACTCTCAAGTCTGGTGAGGCTGGCACTCAGCACAAGCTTGGGATGTCTCTGAGACACTGTTGACGGCAATAATTCGGTTAGTTATGTCTGCAGGATTGTGTGGCACTCCTGGTGCTGCTCTGGCTACCACTGCTGTCTGGTTCAGGATGAACATTATAAATTAGGCCTGAGGTCA